TGAAGCAATATTTTTTTGTCAAAATCAGTCCAAATATGTACCCACACTGTAGATCTGCATCAAATGTTTCTTTATTAAAACCAGCCAGGCTTGGACTATATGCTCTGACCGAGTGAAGCCACAGGCTGGCCCTAGGTACCAAGCAGAGATACGGACTGAAGATAGAAGACACAACCAGAGAGTTATCCGCAGTCGAGCTGAGGTCAAAGGCTGGCGGCTGGCAAAGGGTTATCTGGACATAGGCTGAGAACAGGGCTGGCAGCGGGCAAAGTATAATCCAGGGGCAGGCCAAGGTCAGAACTGGAGACAGATGAGGAGATTTTCAGGGACTGTAGAAAGAACTATCACAAGCAAAGAGGCACATGTTGTTGATGCTTAAATAGAAATCCACCAGAGACAAGACAGATCCCAGGGCTGCAGGTGTGTGGTCAGATTCATTAAGCCACAGCTGACTAGACTGGTGCTGTAACCAGCAAGACACACAGAGACAGGATGATTAACCCACTCCTGCCAAGGCTGCAGCCAGCAATACAGGCTAACTGAACTACACAGGCTGCCTAAGCCCTCGTTCACACCTGAACGTTTTGTAGCGCGTTCTACGCTCGAAGAACGCTCTACAAAACGTTCAAAAATATAAATTGCATTGGAGTCAATGGACTCGTTCCCACCTGTCCGTATTTCCGCCCGTCCCGAACGCGCTACAAAACGGCCCACGCCTGAAAAGGTACAGGCACTACTTTGGGCAGTTTTGTAGGGCGTTTTCCATTGGAATACAGCCAAGTAGCCTTTGGAATCGCGCGACGGTCGCGCGTCTTTTTTACCGCGAATCGCGGTAAAAAAAAACACGCGACGGTCGCGCGACAGACGCGCTTCTGCAATACGCCTAGGTGTGAACCCAGGGTAACAGATACATACCATAGATGAAAGGGATCAAAATAACCATCACACATATCCTATTGAAATGAGCCATGTTTAAAACACTCGTCCTTTGTAAAGGTAATACGTATATGCCACACATATAAACAGCATCTTGAGAGAAGTCAATACATTTCCTTAACACCACATTCCAAGAGAACCAAATACATCATAAATACATTTTAACCATTAAAACCTTTGTGTTAAAAGACAAATACATAGTATCCCATAAATGCAACAGATTATTCTGGTGTTAATGGTTTTTTTTTTGGTGTAAATTATATTTTTCTTAAAATATTTTATCTTACAGGGATAATAATTTTCATAAAAATAATGTAGCAGTATGCATATATAAACAATGGTACATTATTATTTGTCATAGCATAGAGGTAGGATAAAATAACAAAGGCAAAATAGAAGTGGGAGGGGTAAACTAGCGGAGTATGGGGGGGGGGGGGTGGTAAGGTAGAGAATGCATTATTATGTCTTGTTAACCAGCCACAAAGTAAGTCATCATAGCCATATCATAACTATTATCAAGAAATTGGCCTGATGCATTAAAGTATCAAGGTAAGTAATGCACGGTCTACATAGTGTTAAATTGAGAGCCATGAATTCTGAGAGGTTGTACAACTGGATTATAGAGGAAAACTTTGAATCACAAGCTCCAAGTCCTGAGTTTTTGGTCCAATCACAAGTGCAGAGTTTTGGTTTAAGAGTAACTTTTTTTCAAATTTGATCATCTGTAACAAATTATATCACTTTTCAATAAGCAAAGGGATTTTGATAATTTTTCAGTATTTTGGAGTTAGTGCTTTAGCTGTCATTGGCATGGCATACATAACTATTTTATTGTTTTCAAAAAATTCGGTATCAAATAGGTGTACAAAAGTGTCTCTTTTTCATATTGTAATTGCAGTTTCAGCAAGACCTTACATGTATGTAGAGTAAGCAAAATTCCAAACTGATTCAAGGTGGTTCCGACCAAGTGCCATTTATGTCATTTTGTCATTTTGAATTGCAACTCTTGCTATGTGAAAAATTTGGAGGCTTTTTGTGGTAGTGTGTACACATTCTATCATGATCAGAAAGGGTACAATCGAGCTTTGATTCCTAAATGTTGATTATTTTAGTATAATCATAATGGGAAATTAAGAATCAATGCATTTTAGATAAAGCTTGTTTTTTGTTTTTTTTAAACTTGCATTTAGTACGTTAGCCTTTTTTCTCCCTGATGGGGATGGCATATGTTAAAGTCTTTGGTAAATTTTCAAGGCTTTCTTCAAAGTAACAATGAGGATAATGGCCAGCATCTGGGATCTGAATGACACCAATTACTAAGAAGTTTTTAATGGTTTACACCAGTTTGAGTACATGTGTTTTATTTTTGAATATACCTTAAACTAGGGATGCGCCGATACCGGTTTTTCTGTATCAGTTACGAGTACCGATATATATATATATTTCGGTACTCGCCGATACTGAGTAGCAATACTGGTACCTCCACTAGCATGGAGCATGTCATTGGGCGGCATGTCATTACCTGTGCTCCATGCTGTTTGGCCGGATCGATGCTGATTGGCTGGGAAGCCAACTTCATGTGCCCTCGCGTCAGAGCCGGTCAGAGGAAATTTACCATTGTTTAACTAGGCCCACCAGGCAACTTCAAAATTCACTGACTTCATGATCGCAAAAATGCCTGCTTTTTCTTTTACATCACAACTTTTCCCTTAGAAATTCACAAAAGTTCTATTATAATCCATCTGGACAATGCAGCCTGGGCCTGTATTCCTGCTCTATGTGCTCTATAGAAGCAAACAGAACCATTGTCTGTGAATCACTGACTCAGCAGAGTAAAGGGTATTAAAACAATGGAAGACTCCCTTCACTCCCTTCACTCCCTGAACTTGTAGGATGCCTATATATGCCAACACTCTATTACATATTGCCACGCTAACATCTCCCTAGGGCAAAAATCCCTCATTACACTTACATTACACCCTATTAACCATGATTGCCTAGTTGTAAAGTGTGCTATTCTGTGCTGAAATCGTTTGTTTTTACAGTTGCATAGCATAATACATCCAAGTCTTACCAATGCTTTAGCTATGTGTCTACCTTTAGTAACGGATTCCACTATGTTGTGTAACATTGCACTTCTGTGCTTTCAATAAAGAATTCATAAAAGGAGATTAGACTAAGATTGACAAAGCAATATAATAGGAATCCAAATTTTGCACATGCACTTTCAATTTGCACGCTGCTCCTGAAAGCTATCCAGAGTCCCTTGGACCATCACGTGCAGTTGCTAGTATAGAACTAGAAATTTCCAGGGAAATCTTATTATGGGCAATTGAGAAGCAACTATAAAAGGTAAGTAGAAAAGGAGTTGTAAATGTAATTGTTTTTGCACCCATGGATATAAATAATTGACTCATAGGGGGTGATTTACTAACCTAAACACACGCACGCACTAGGTGCGTGTGATTTTCACACAGCAAAACTTATTTATCAACCAAAAAGTCTCTAAAAGCATATTTCCACTAATGCCATATATGGAAAAATCATGCACATGATGCATATATAATGCTGCTTCACAGTTTAGACAAAAATGGTTAGCTCATGCATTTACATTCCTGCATTCATCAACGCAAGCAACACAACATAGAGCTAATTTACACAACATCACCTTGCAATTCATGCTTGGCTTTGCACAACTCACCTGCTGGGTGTGTACACACTACAAAGGTGTTTAGATTCCACCCATAGATCATGCTGGGAGGGAACACACTACAGAGATGTATACATGTTCGTGATGTGTTTATAAGGTTAGTAAATCAACCCCATGATGTTACTTATTTAATCAAGACCAAGCAATGAAATGGGTTACATCAAACCTTAGCAAATATTGAGGGAAAATCTGTTTGCTGGGTTGGATCATTTTAGATGATATAACATTGCTGCACAAAAAGTGGACAAAAGTGATCCTTAGATGAGATAGAAGCTCTATGAAGAACTGCAGCAGGTAAGACATCTACCTGGCATTTAGCCGGCTAGCATCTTCAGGGATGTACAGTGATATCTTATGGTTCAGTGGACCACATTCTGTAAATACATCCTTCTCTTTTTTCAGTGGAAGGATTGGCTTTATTGCTCAGAGTTTTTACAGCAAATTTTAAAATTTTACCTCAGGGAGCCCTATATTGTTGATCTACACAAGACTAATGTTAAAGTGTATGTAAACCCTAACAATAGACTTTTTTTTATTTGCTCTCTTTTAAACTATTAAACATTTTATAATATTTATATCTGCTGTTGATCTTGTCCCAAATCTTGTTAACAAATAACTGCCAATGCAGTTTTCCTGTGCTGCACTGATATACATTAATTTAGCATTTAATCTAATGCAATCACCATATCTAAGGAGTGGTAAGTTGCAATATATTAAATATGTATTATTTTGTTTAGATACACTTTAAATTGGTGCATAATGTATGGATGTCTATTTGCTAGTCTGTAAGATCATTAGTTGTTATGACACTTCTAGATGTCTTCTTAAATGAATGTCCAGTTTAAAGTAGCATTCTTTTCATGGCTTATTGACAGCTGGACACAGCCAACAATGTCAATAAACCTATGTTTCTACAACCCAAGTAATTAATTAGAGAGGTAGAGATCGGCTTATCTGTATAAAAATATAACTGTGTGTATATATATCTCTCTCTATATATATATATATATATCTCTCTCTCTCTCTCTATATATAGATATAGAGAGAGAGAGAGAGAGAGAGAGATATATAGTAGCTGTTTTCTGGTATGTAGTGCTATCATTTAGGCAGGGGCTTTAACAATGTTGCCTTCTCTATCATTTAATTATATATAGCAGATATATAGTTACTTTTTTCATTCAGAATTGAATTAGTCATGGCAGTTATATTATCCTGCATCTATACCTAGAAAGTAGGCCCTTTTCAGGTGCCATTAATTCATTAGCTAGTCCTAAAAAGCAGTCTATGTTATATTATAAAACTATGTTACATTTTTTTCAACATTTCTTGATTTTGTTCTGTTTTTATCCTTTAGTCCCAGAAATCTTGGATTGAAGGTATTTTCTGTAAACGAGAATGTGCAAAGATAATACCAACAAGCAAAGATTCTCACAGGTAGTGTATGCTATTTTTAAACATAAATATCTCAGCTTTGAAATAAGTAAATAGTATTGAAATAAATAATTAAAAATACATTGCACATTTATACTAGGGTTACATGCTATGAACAACACCATGAGTGCATAGTATAAAAGACTCACATCTCTGGTCTCTTTAAATTTATAGTAAGTTTAAAGTCCCCATGAAAGCCATCATTGGAACCCATCTTATTCTATTATTAATATTTCAATGTACTGCACATTACCAATGTGATTAATGTATAAAATACTTGTTTCAGTATATCCCTGCAATCTGATTATTTTTTGCCTGTATTCCTCTTCTATCTATTGTTTTGTCTGTACTTCCCTTGTATCTATTCATTTTATGCCTCTATACACCTGCAATCTAGTGGTTTTTGGTTTCATACACCCTTGTGTCTATATAATTCTAGTGTCTACTGGTTTTAATTTCATATCCTGCTGATGTGATTTCGTCTTTGTGCCTTCCGGGAGTCTAGAGGTCCAGACTAGTAATGTGTGATTATTGGCGCATTATTATACTGGGTCAGTATAAACCAGCAGGGTGTACCACCCATACCTCCAAAGTGGTTCCCACATAATGCGGAACTGTCTCACAGCAAGCAACAGTCAGACCACTAGATAGCTGAGCAACTTGGTGCTAACTGACAGAAATCACTTCAGTTCAGTTTTAGGATGTGACATCTCTATGTGGGCCAAAAATGAAGTGCTGGAGCAGTCTCTTTAACCTAGTTCTTTCAAACTAGATCTAAATGGGGTATGATAATAGCTTCCCATTTATAATAATCAGGGGTCACTGGGAATGCTTTTCATTCATTCAATAGCAACCCAAAACATTTTTTCCTGCAGGTATTGTGCTTGTATACATTGTAAAGGAGATATTTTAAAGTGACACCAAATCTTAAAAATGCATTAAAGTACATTGTGTATCACTTGGCTGTAGATCCTCAAACCATCTCTGAATTTATACTGATAGTGTCTTTCCTTCTGGCTATAATCTTACGATTAGTTTACTAATTTGCATTGCGATTGTAGTCCATCATGGAAGCAAACTTGGAGCGGTGGCTATTTTACATCACACACAGGGACCATGGGGAGCACCAGAGGGCTCAGTAAACATATAGACTTGGCTTGAAACTTTCAACTTTTCTTTTCCATTGGAGAAGGTGGGGCAGAAAAGAGTAGGTAAATGCTGGCCTATTGAGGAAAATAGCGAGTAGAACAGTTTTTTCGACCCCTCAGTGCAAACTGTGGCACCATCAAGACATGGCATGTTTGATTCATCTTCGTGTTTTCTCTTTTGCAGATGTCATGGAGGATGTCATGTCTGCCAGAACCTGATCAGGTGAAGTGTTTTGACAGGGCCACAATTGGCTCTGTAATAATTACCCAGCTGCAGTGTACCTTTTACAAACTAATGTTGTATTTAGTTAACTGAGAAAAGCAGGGAGGCTAGTGAGTTATTTAACTAGGCTTAAGGGGAAAACAATTCATTGTTACATGACAAAGAACCAAAGGTTTATAGTTGTTTACTGTGACACTGTTTTCAAAGTTTGCCTAAGCAAGTATTAAAGGAGATTGTACATATCGTAAGCTTCACCTCACATATACTATTGATCTGGCTACTGTCCATTGTTTTGCAGCATGCTTTTCCTGGCATTGATTAAATGAGCATGTTTGTTTTCCTAAGAGAATGCCAGAAGATCTAATCTGTAGAGTGCAAGTCAAGGCAGTTTACATTGATGCTGCATATGCCAAATATAATGTCTCTCTTAAAGCTTGTAAATACTAGCAAATGTATGTCCGTTCCTTGAGTAGGTAATTCAAAATGGTGGTGTGAATGTAATTAGCAAGAGTGTGTACAGGACAAATTGGAATGGTCTGGTACACAGGTATTAACAGGCACAGTAGTGTGTGGCACTTCTAAGAATACAGGCATAGCAGAAGACAGGGTGCAGGTACCATTGCCGAGTCACTGATTCTACAAGAAAAACAAGGGTGTCCATAGTAATTTTTCATTTGAGTTTTATTATCGGTGATGCCATGTTTCTGTTATGTACAAAATGATCTGTGTATTATGCCTTCTTCAAACCCAACTGACATTTTTGTGGTTTGCACAATTTACACATTAAACATAGTGTCTGCAAATGTCTATTCATGTTCAGTGCACATCACAAGATCTGTCAGTGCACAAGGTGACATATAGGAAACATACTATGAAGAAGGGTGGGTAATGTATACAGCAACTACTGTCTACAAAACTTTAGACAATCAAGGGAGAAGGGACTTGTAATTAATTTGAATTTAAATTTAGTTTTGGCTTTCCACGTTCTGAGCTTCAGCAGTTGTGGAAAAGATGACGAGAACAGTGTGTAAAGCTAACAACACATAATACAAAAATGATTAGACAATCTACTCAGTTTTGTACAGAAATCTAAAAGTGTATGTTTACTCAAAGTACTAGCCGTAGTAGATTGTGCAGTCAGATTGTGTGTGGATAGCTTAATATGCATATCAAGCTACAGGTATAAGTATTCTGAATTACTACCTTATTGTACAGGTGATGTGAAAAAAATCCCAATCATTTCTTTGAACAAGTTATCTATGCTTGGCATATGAAATACACCGATCAGCCATAACATTTCTGAGAGGTGAACTAAATAACATTGATTATCTTGTTACATTGGCACCTGGAAGTGGTTGGGATATATCAGGCAGCAAGTGAACATTTTGTCCTTGATGCTGATGTGTTAAAAGTAGAAAAAATGGGCAAGCATAAAGATTTGAGTGACTTTGACAAGGGCCAATTTGTGATGGCTAGATGACTGGGTCAGAGCAACTCCAAAACTGCAGCTCTTGTTGGTTGTTCCCGGTCTGCAGTGGCCAGGGCATACCAAACTTTGTCCACAGAGGGGAAACTGGTGAACCAGTGACAGGGCCATGGGTTTCCAAGGCTCATTGATGCATGTGGGGAGCGAAGACTGGCCCATGTATTCCGATCCAATAGAAGAGCTACTGTAGCTCACATTGCTGAAAAAAATAATGCTGGTTCAAATAGAAAGGTGTCTGAACACACATTGCATTGCAGTGTGTTACGTATGGGGCTCTGTAGTCCCAGACCGGTCAGGGTGCCCATGGTGACCCCTGGCCACTGCGGTGTAATCTTGGGTTCTGCCATTCATGTGGATCTTACTTTTACGTGTACCACCTACATAAACATTGTTGCTGACCAAGTGCACCCCTTCATGGAAATTATATTCCATGAAGGGGTGTATATATAGTGGCCTCTTTCAGCAGGATAATGCGCCCAGCCACACTGCAAAAATGCTTCAAGAATGGTTTGAGGAACACAACAACGAGTTTGAGGTGTTGACTTGGTCTCCAAAATCTTTTTTTTTATTATTATTCCGTTCCAAGCTGTTTCTTCCCACCTCAGCTACCTCAAGTTGAAGTGGTTGTTGAAAGCAAGGAACAAAAGAAAGTGCCTCCATAGTGTAAAAGTGTGATTTAATAGTAAAAACACGCAGCTCTAAGGCTGTACTTACAACAATTCAGTTGAATAAAAACCAGTAGAGTAAGATGAGAAGTCAGAACCTCTAGCAGGGAGAGTCTGAAGTGATGAAATTCACCAGCGTCCTCTATTCCTGTGTTAGCAAAAGGTTTACGCGTTTCTGGGGCACGCCCCCTTCATCAGAACCTATGAATAAAACTGCCCTGTGTCCTGTCTTAAATCTTGAACAGGGTGGATCACATGGGATTTTTAACCCAATCTTCAGGTCAATGTTGGAGGCTCATCAGGTCAATGTTGGAGGCTCATTGACCTGATGATTGGGTTAAAAATCCCATGTAATCCACCCTGTTAAAGATTTAAGACAGGACGCAGGGCAGTTTTATTCATAGGTTCTGGTGAAGGGGGGGTGCTCCAGAAACAAGTAAACCTTTTGCTAACACAGGGTTAGAGGACGCTGGTGAATTTCATCACTCCAGACTCTCCCTGCTAGAGGTTCCGACTTCTCATCTTACTCTACTGGTTTTTTTTCAACTGAATTGTTGTAAGTACAGCCTTAGAGCTGCATGTTTTTATTATTAAATCACTCTTTTACACTATGGAGGCGCTTTCTTTTATTCCTTGTTTCCTAGACTGGTGGTCAATCTGACCTGCGGGAGCTGCCTCTCTCGTGTTTGCTGTATCTTATTGCTGGGCACCTTGCAATTGAAGGCGCCGGTATTTTTTCGTCATCAGGTTGGTGGGAGGACAAGATTAGCGTCTATGTTCGCTGACTTCCCGATCAATATAGCTGACCTGTGGCAGCTTCAGTGTCACAGGTCAGCTTTAATTATGGGGATGAGTGTTTTTCACTCAACCCATAATTCTCTTTTCATGCAAGACCTTAATCACAGTGATCTGAGAGTCTGCAAAAGTCCCACCAACAAGGGGTCCTTAGTTTAAGGGTAGTAAAATTATGGACACATTTTCTTTGTCAAATCTTTGGTGGTACAAAGGCTGTTAAGATGTATTTGTAATAGACAAATGTTGTTATCTGAAGAGATAGTTGTATATGGTTGCAGAAATTCCTTTGACATTAGCCCTAAAAACATTTTACATGGCATTTCTCATAATGAGCTGGACTCATGCAAAAATACTAAATTGTGCTTTAGGTGCTTCTGTGGAAGATTAATTACAGATCATCCGGGTTTAGATTACGACTGGCCAGTTTATTCTGATCCACAAGAAAGATGTGATGAAGAATGGTTAGTTCACAGACACACGAAGGCAAGCCCAACAGATGCATATGGCACCGTCAATTTCCAGGATGGCCATCATACATATCATGCAAAGGTAGGGTATATAATTCAGCAGTGCAAACCAGAACTTCATGGCTGTATGTGCAATATCTTCATAATAACTTTTTGACTAAAATGCAGTACATAACAAACCTTTTTTTATGCTATGAAAGATACAACAGAACTAAAAGCTTAGGGTATAAGCGATGATAGAGGCAACAACACACATCATGCTTAATTATTGCCTATAAACTGTGGAAAAAGCTTAATACAATTTAAATGAAATATAGTTTAACAATATTCGGAGATATTGAGATTAATTCACCAAGACATATCAGTGATTTTAACTGTATTTATTATTTTATATTAGGACCATGTTACATGAAAATATATAATGGGGCAGGGGGGAGCTGCTGATGATAACCAACTTTAAGAGTGCAGAAGAAGACATCTGATTGGTTGCATTTATTGTTTTTTAGTCACTTTTACTTAGAGCTGTACTTTCTATTTATTTTAAGAATAGGACACACTGGTGTCATTGTTATCGTTCACGTATACTGTTTTACAGTTTAAGTAAAAGTTTACTGGTTTAGAGATTCAAGACACTTATATATTTTTTCCCAGTATATTAGAGTATCTTATGACACAGCTGTGGACCAGTTGATGCATCTGATGATAAAACAATGGCAGATGGAGCTTCCCAAACTTGTTATATCTGTTCATGGAGGAGTTCAGAATTTTAAACTTCCTCCGAAAGTGAAGAAACTTTTTGGTAAAGGTTTGGTGAAGGCAGCAGAGACTACAGGGGCATGGATCCTTACAGAGGGAATTAACACAGGTCTGTATGATACCTTGCCTTACATTGTATGTTACTGTATATGTTTAGGATCTTCATGATTTGTCAGGGAAGGTTTCAGCACATACTGTATACAGTATTTGTTGTTTTATTGTAAATAGTTACTCTGTAATTCCAGTTGACAATTCTTAGACATACAGTTGTAGGCTCTGATATGTGGAATTCTGAACATCTAGGGTTTCCTAGGTAGGTTTACACGTAAGTTTGTGACACCATTCTCATAATACCAGTTTCCATTGAATTTTTGGTAAGTGACATCTTCCAAACGTATACCTGTAGTCCTTGATATCTCAGGCTCAATCTACCCACTCACTTACAGTAATAACATAAAAACTGAATGATGTAGACATTGACACCGGTTTCTTCGCTTACATATCAAGATTTTAGGGAGGGCATTGGATAAATATAAAGTAAAGTGGAAAAAACTTGTCTATATTTAGTTGAGGGACAACTCTGGTTAAAAATGTTATTAACCCTTGCAGTGGGGCTACCCCCCAAACTGCAAGGGTTAAGTGTTCATTTTTGCCTAGAGTCAAAAATGACTAAGTTATACTCACCCTATCCTCAGAGCTGGATGGCTGTGACAGCGCTCACTCCTGCCTCCCCTGCTATTCTGCAGCCATATGTCCCTCATTGTCCTCATGTCCTGTATACTATGTATAGAACGTGATGACTCGGGGACCTTAGACCACTGCAAGGGAGGGGGAGTGAGGCTACAGGGACCAGTCTAAGAGCTGGCTGGCTTGGAGGATCAAGTGAGTATAACTTTTTTTTACCCTAGGCAAAAACGAGCACTTAACCTTTGCAGTGCAGTGGTCGTCCCACTGCAAGAATTAATAACATTTTTAACCAGCGTTCTTCTTTAAAGGACAGCATCTGCTAATCCTTTATTGGAGGGAGGTAAGAGAATGCAAGAGATGAAACATGACCTCTTATGATGTAGAAAAGGCAATCTACTGTTCCAGAAGTTTATTCTTAAGCCTGTCAAAATCCAATGCTTTTCCATACATTTAAAACAATGAACATATTTAATAAGATTAAACCTGAATTGCAAAAAAACAGAGTGTAAAAGGCTAGATTTCTTTTTGGTTTACATTGTTATTTTAGAGTTCTTGGCTGACTTTAAGTGGAGACAAACAGGAGGATTAACAAAGAAAAATGCATCAATTTCAATATGCACTATTGGTATAGTGTTTTATGTGCCAAATAAAAAAAGACTGTTGCACGACAATTGGTTAATTGTATGCATGATAATCCGTTCATACACATCCCCTTCCCCTCTCCCTCCTATAGTACTGCTGCTTGCTGCTCGCCCCTCTTCACTACAGTATTTATGCCATAATGGTGTTCATTTTAGAACAAGTGCCCAATTACAATTTAGATGCACGCTATTACAGATTAATAGAAACAGTTAACACAACAACACATAGAACTTGTGTAATGGTATTGTTGACCTGGTGCATGAAAAATGCACTGATATATACCAAACAATTATATATTTCACTTTGTTAATTAATCATATTCGGAAAGAGTATGCTACTGTAATATATAGCAATGTCTGTGATAATCAGGCATTAACTATTCTGTCTTAAACCAATAGGTTCTGCAGTGCAGCAGCTTCTCCGTCAGTAATTACTAGATGCACATCCATGCAAGGCATGTTAACAATTACACAATGCTAACATTTCATAATATAGAAACACAATAGGATAGAGAACATTACTCAAAACAGATTACCATCTTCACTCATCTGTTACTGTTAATCTGCTCATCTTGAAGACATTGGTCATCTATCAGCAGACACTCAGCTTGACTACAAGTAGACTCCACATTCTTAAGAAGGTAAATAGTGTAATTTTACAAATATACAATAAGGCATTAAAAGCTTTACAATTTCATACAGTCATCATTGGTCTGCACATGTTCTTTTAGTTTACAGGCTTAGGTCGTTAAGATGACAGATATGTTATACTAGTGCAGTGTATTCATCTTCACTTTTCAAACAGATTATGTCTTGATGCTTCCTTACGAAATGTTTTTCCAAGTGATTATGTTGCAGAAAACCTCTTATCACAATACACTGTCTTTAATAAAAGAACATGCAATGATACAGCATTGTAAACAGAATATAAACCTGGACCTGTAATTTGGCATAACAGACTGTCTTCTGAGCGATCAGCTAATATTACTGTGTAGATTTGAGTTTCTAAGCATGTCTAAACCCAAATAGGGCTGTGCATATGTCTCCACTGTTTCACATGAATCTGGTGATTGACAAGTTCGACACCAGACACTACATTGTGGTGAGGTACTGGGAGTGTCTTGTGTTCCTAAATACCCTGGTTATTTTTTCGGATGGTCTGGCCACAGATCAGGGCATCAAGAAGGTAAGTTCTGGCTGCTTATGGTTGCTGTAATGCAAACCTATTACATTGCAGGCTCCTTTTAAACTGAAGCCTTTTACTTAGTATTAACGTATTCCTTTTTAGCTATGCGCCCCATTTCTTTTCAGTCTCAGATAATAGTACATTTTTGCCTGAGCTTCTTTGCAGGTTAAGACATGTGCTTTAAAGTGACACTAAACTCAGGAGTTACATGTTAAAAATGCACTCAGATACCTTAACTATTAAAGTGGACCTTTATCCCCTGTGACTGAAAATCACGCCAGAATACAGCTCTGCTGATATGAAATCATCTTACATTCATTAGTTAAAAAAACATATTTTTATTTTATTTACAATTTCTTTCTACTTCCTGGTCCACTTTGGCACAAATTATGTAATGTGCCCAAACATTGCATCCTGGGAAGGTTACATCAGGAGAGCATTGCTGTAATCTCATGAGATCTCAGGGAAAGGCATCTTCCTCCCCTGAGATGATGTGCATGGTCACTTATCCTGGGCACATGTGCCAGAGTTTCAGGAAGTAAAGGGAGATATATTAATCTGCCCTTAGTTAAAGGAGAACTATGAGGTGAGTGCTTTTCACTCACCTCATAGTTCTAGCCGACCTGTGACAATGAGACCGTCACAGGTCCGTCAAGTTACACAGGTATGGCTTATGACTTTAAAATAAGCTAGCCTAGGAGATAACCTGTCATTATATCAGTATTATATCACTTAGAGGCACTGAGCAATACAACTAGACAAAACATTTCTGAAACCAAGTGACTGGAGTTCTTGTATTATTATCTTGTATGACGCATATGATCTTGTGAAGATATCTTCTTACCTTTTATTAGGTGTTTGTTATTTCATGTTTGTGCTTGTTAAACTGCATTAGACTTTCATCATGTTTTACTCTACACAGCCTGCCAGATTCTCACTCATTGTCCATTTGTTTAGGAGTCTCGAAACATGTAGGTGATGCCCTGAAAGCACATGCCTCCCAACATCTAAGAAAAATCTGTGCAATCGGAATCCCACCATGGGGAGTTATTGAGAATCAAAAGGATCTTATAGGAAAAGATGTGAGCACTCTAAACTTTTAGTCCTTTCCTGTACATGATATTAGTATTAGTGTTTATTAGAACCAAAAACAATGTTTTTGTTTTGTTTATTTATTTTTATTTGTCCACAAAATGCCCAGTTTGTGTCTTGTAGTGACACAAACCTAATAAGAGAAGTAAATTGTATATCTGTTGCAGTGTGCAAATATATTTTAAATATTGTTTGATATCAATAGCTTTGATGTGAAACTTTGTTTTTTTTTATTGCAGGCAGCTTGTCTTTACCAAACCCTGTTGAATCCACTTAGTAAGCTCAGCAGTCTGAACAGTATGCACTCTCATTTTATTATGGTGGATGATGGCACAGTTGGAAAGTATGGTAATGAGATGAAACTTAGGAGAAACCTCGAGGAATACATTTCTCTTCAGAAAATACATACAAGTAAGGTGTTTAGTTGATTGCTGTATATAATTATTATATGGCGGTTAAAGTTGATGTGCAGTCCTTTAGCAAATGGCGTGTCATGCGGCTCAACTAACATTTTTTCTTTAATGATCCCCATGTTAATTTTTTACCTTTTATTGGCTTCAGTTTCTGTTCAAGAATTAGCTTCCGCCAAGCTGCTGACTACAGGGTGGTAATATAGGTACTGGTCTGGGGAAAGGATAACACAATTTGACCACTAAGTAACATCCACTACATGTCTTTAAATGTAATCAGAGATGGGGACATGAAGTTGGCGGCACTTTACTTTTTTACAGAAGCTGCTGCACAGAGTGGTCATAGACATTTTTCTGGTACCTTACATGGGCTTTAAATAGGGGAAACTGCAAGTGAGTTAAATACAAATTTCAGCTAGTACCTTTCACAACATATTGGGATATTATCGATATAAATATAACCATACTGGGGTGGTTACAGATCAGCTTTAGGCCCCTTTTACACAGGCTGATCAGAAGAGGATCCATGCACAGATCCCCTCCTGTTCAAAGCGAGAGCAAAAAAACTGAAATGACTGGACCCAATGTCAGTCTCTGGATAATTAGATGTATCCGGCATGATCAGATCCGTCAAAACAGAAAATTGTTCCGTTTGTTTTTTTGGACCTGACTAAAGTCGGGGGTAACTGGATGTAAACGAATGCCCATCCGTTTAGACCCAGCAATCATGGTCGCTCGCTGTGCAGTTTCCCCACACAAGGCATTCCGTGATTGGCAGAGGGGGGATCATGATGTGCATATGCCCCTTGTCCAATCACAGAACACCTTGTATTCTTTGAAAAGAATGCAAGACATTTTGCTAAAAGGAGCAGCTGCACATCAAGCAACCCACTGTGATAGCTGTGCTTCAGGCCCAACTGTCATTTTTTACCACTGAAACTTCAGCGGTGGCTTTACCATCAGAGGCTCCACGTAAATAACATTTTATATAGAAAGAACAGCAGCCACCAGTTAGGCACACATCATTAGAGATAGCTTACTGGTACCTAGATATTGACCAAACAAAGTTTTTGTGCTTACCAGCTTTAAAGTGACACTAAACTCAGGAGCTAGATCTTAAAAATACATTAAAGTACCTTAACTACTAACAAAAATGTATATTATTTGTGTATCCTTCAGCTGTAGATCATCAAATCATCTCTGAATTTGTAGTGACACTGTCCTTCCTTCTGGAGGGTGACTACTTTTGTTCCCCATGGTCCCTGTGTGAGTTGTAAATTAGCCACCAGTCCAAGCTCTATCCTGTGATGGGCTACAATCTCACATTTAGTTTACTAATTTGTATTGAGAGCGTAGACTATTACGGGAGCGAGCTTGGAGTGGTGGCTACTTTACAACACACACAGGATTGTGTTGTGTGGTTTCAAGGTAAAGTGCAAATAGCCTTGAAACGTGAACAGCCTATTTGCTTTTAGCAAACCAACCACATAAATAATACAGATATTCCAAAATTGCAGGTATGTATATAATTTAAAAAAAGTAGCTTCAATTTATTGATGTCATCTACCAACAGGAATGGGACAAGGAGTTCCAGTGGTTGGCTTGGTTGTTGAAGGAGGTCCCAATGTGATCCTTATGGTGTGGGAATATGTCAGGAGTACACCATCAGTTGCTGTAGTGGTTTGCGAAGGGACAGGAAGGGCAGCTGACATTTTGGCCTTCACTCACAAGCACACTGCTGATAGAAGGTAAGCTAATCTTATATGTTTCTATGGTTAATAATTAGTTATATATTGGAAAAAAATATAATACAATTTTCTTATACTTTGTACTTAAATTCTTAGATTCTGCAGACATCCAATTTTTGTTTCTTTCCTTTAATTCCCTACTGCTTTTTTTGGTCTTATGCGATGGTCTTCCCATACACTCAATGGCTTGAAAATGGTTGGATATTACTGAAAACATGGTAATTTTCAGAAAAAACTCAACAAGACACCTCGGTTAGCACAGAAATGAAATAAATCTGTGATTTTTGGTGAGCCGCTCATGTGACCTTGACAGGTCACGTGATTGGGATCTCCTAATGGCCTTTTTTTCAACTCGGACTCCTGAAGCCAGCAGAGCATGGAGCATTTTTTTTGCCCCATGGCCATATTGTCTTTTTAAATTTCACCTTGGAATAGGTAAAACAGAGGACAGCCATGACAGGAGAAACAAAAAACATTCAAAGACTAGTTTGTATACAGTACAACAAAAGTTATGAGTAAATGTTTATCACTGCTTGATATATCGCTAGGGGAAAAGTCTACAAATATGTATTTTAAAAGAGTGTAATGAAAATATGGAGCATCAAGGAAGTAAAAATGTGAGTCATACACAAAACTATTTGCAGGTAAATCCTAACAGCTCAGATTGGCTGATATATAACTCTTGGGCAAATTACATTTGCCCCACATTACTGCCAAGAGCTGAAGCTGAGGAGCATAGTAAATTCCTATGCTCTTCGGCTCCATCTAGTGGCAGTAATGCCATGAGTCCAGCTAGGGGTATTCCCTACACTTTCCCTACACTGAGGCGATAGTGTAGGGAACCCTTTGTATTGAATCAGGTTTACACATGTCAATGTGTAGACCCATTGGTTACATATAAGGGTTGAAGGTTTGTGTTTGTTGATCACAGAGCTTCCGGATTATGCTTCGAGTCCGGCACTTTTGTTATATATTTATTCATTGAGCACTGTCATTGTGCATGCATCACATGTATTATATTGATTTTTGATATTGATTTTTTGGTGTTCACATATATATAGGTTGTTCCTTGAGAGAACACTCACATTTTGATTATACATCTGTGATACAGTATTTTGTCATCAGAGACAATCACGGTCTCTTTAAGTTAGATTGTACGTTTTCTTTCACGTTACAATTCACATTCACACTGACCAAGCGCAACTTGCTTGCCATAAGGTAGTGTAGTGGTGCACATTACTGGGGGGGCTTGCACTGCACATTACGGTGGGTAGGCAGCAGCGCACGTTACAGGGGGTTGCACAGTGCCTCTGTTCAGGGTCCCACCCAGCTCACTGACGTCAGTTAGGTGGGTGGGATGCCAGCAAGAACGTCACAGGTTGCCAAGAGATTTTAGCAACCTGGGACTCTCCGGCCGTAAGGGGGGCGGAAAATGCCGCCGTCCCGCCATGTGACCCAATGAGATGCCACCTGAGGCAAACACCTAAGGCTGCCTCATAGGGACGGCCCAGCACCCAGTATGTAGATTTATACATCAGCTCGAAAGTGTGTGCTCAGTGAAAACAAACTATAGTGAACCAGATATCAGATTTATCTATGGTGCAGTATTTTATCATTTAAAATTTGTTTTATGCTAAATACATAGTTCTGGAGTTAAGGTTTTTTTGGTATGTTGAGCATAAATACACGCTGGTTGGTTTTGTTCGTAAATATATGCCTTTTTTAGAAAAAGGCAGCCCCAAAATGACATTATATATACTGTATATACACGGAGTGGCCAGATTATTATGACCACCCCATCAGTACTTTGTTGGGCCACCTTTTGTCTTCAATACTGCGGCGATTCTTCTTGGCATTGAAAGGTGATGCGAGGAATCTGACACCATGCCTGATGAATAGCACTGTCCTGATTGTGGGGGCCACCTAAGCAAGGTAAATTCTCCCTCATGTTCTTGAAACCACTCCTGCACAATACGAGCACCATGGCCTGGCGCATTGTCTTGCTGGAAGAAGCCATCTCTATTGGGATAAGCCATCAACATGATAGGATGAACTTGATCAGCAACGATACTTTGGTATGTTGTGCTATTCAGACGTTGTTCCACACGAATTAAAGGGCCCAAATCATGCCAGGAAAACATGCCCCAAACCATAACACTGCCCCCACCAGCTTGAAGGGTTGTACTCATGCATGTGGGGTTCATGCTTTCATGCTTTTCCCGCCAAATTCTCACTCTGCCATCTGCATGATGCAACTGGAAACGTGATTCATCGGACCACATAACTTTTTTCCAATGCTCGACTGTCCAATCCTTTTGACAACATTTTATCTTGTTTACTGCAGACAGCAAAGGTGTTCAAACAGGCCTTTGGCTTCCATATCCCATACGATGCAGTGTATGGCGAACAGCCCAGATAGCAAGTAATTGTGCTGCAAGTTTGAAAATGACTTGCTAAACTCTTGCAGACTTGCCAAGCTTCACAATTTTGTTGCACAATTACAGCAAGTCTGCATTGCAAGTCTCCAGACCAGCGAGCTTGCAGAGCTCTTGCTAAGACCTGCAGGACTCTTGCTGTAGACTTGCCAATCAAATTTGCTACAAATGCAAAAAGTGTCAACTAGAACTTGTGCTGCGAGTGTTCTGCAAGTCTACAACTTGCCAGGAATATGTGCAGCAAGTTAACAAAATGACAATTTCACCCTGCCACAAGTTTGTGGCAAGTTATCCTTGCTATCTGGGAGTGCGTTCAGAGATCATTTGAGAGGATCCCTGATTAAGATCTGCAGTAATTTGATGCGCTGTTGCCCTTCTGTTGTCTTGTACCAGTCTTGCCACTCTCTGTTCTGCCCTAACATTGACTAGTCACTGACGGCCACAATTCGCACGTTCAGACCCAGATTTTCGGCTGACAGTCCAGTCTTTAAACACTTTAACAACTGCTGCTCTTGAACATTTAAAGAATTCTGCTATTTTACTGATACTCGCTCCATGGCTCGGAGCGCCAACAATCATCCCACGTTCAAAGGCTGTTAAATCGCGTTGTTTACCCATATCTTCAGAAAAAAAAAGCACCTACTGTCGTGGTAAACAAACTGCTTCCCTATTTATAATGGTCTGGCCCTCTAGCAACTTCAGCGCAAAATTATAGCTAATTTGCCTACAAACGTCAGGTGGTCATAATAATCTGGCCACTCAGTGTAT